GCAGTCAGAGGACAGGAAGACATGAAGGAGCAGGTCGCCATGGTGGAGCGCAGAAATGGTCTGATGGTAGCTGAGATCGAGGAGCTGAGAGCCGCTCTGGAGCAGACAGAGAGAGGACGCAAAGTGGCTGAGCAGGAGTTGGTTGATGCTAGCGAGCGTGTTGGACTGCTGCACTCTCAGGTTGTTATTCATTACTTTACAAGAACTTTGAGATATAAGAGAGTGAGAATCACATCATTAAAACGGTTTCTTTTTCATTCAGAACACCAGTCTTTTGAACACCAAGAAGAAGCTGGAGACTGACCTTGTCCAGGTTCAGGGTGAGGTGGATGATGCAGTTCAAGAAGCTAGAAATGCTGAGGAGAAGGCCAAAAAGGCTATCACTGATGTAAGTTATTACTTTACAAGGATCTTATCTTTTCAAAATTCTTGTTCATGCTTGATCAATAATGCCAACACCACCCATAATTTCAGGCTGCCATGATGGCTGAGGAGCTGAAGAAGGAGCAGGACACCAGTGCTCACCTGGAGAGGATGAAGAAGAACCTGGAGGTCACAGTCAAGGACCTGCAGCACCGTCTGGATGAGGCCGAGAACCTCGCCATGAAGGGTGGCAAGAAACAGCTCCAGAAACTGGAGTCCAGGGTATGTTGTTCTTGAACTATTTTTCAAATATTTAAAAAAAGAAGAAGAAAAAAACACACATTGATTCCATCACATGATCTCAAACCCTTTTTCTTCTCTGTACTTTTAATATTTATTAAAAGCTCATTATTTATCATGGCATTAAAGGTCCGTGAACTGGAAACTGAAGTTGAAACTGAGCAAAGACGTGGAGCTGATGCTGTTAAAGGAGTCCGCAAATATGAGAGGAGAGTGAAGGAGCTCACCTACCAGGTGATTACACATTTACCTAAATATTTATTACATTTAAGTTCCTAAATTGTTTCTTCTTTAGCCGTCAGTAACAGTTTGTTGTTTATGCAGACTGAGGAGGACAAGAAGAATTTGGTCAGACTTCAGGATCTGGTGGACAAGCTGCAGCTCAAAGTCAAGGGTTACAAGAGACAGGCTGAGGAGGCTGTGAGTAAAATGTTTTGTGATTTTTACATATGGAATGCACAACTTTTTAACTGAATTATAACTAACATATATGACCTGATATTTACAAAACAAAACAAAACATATTGTTACATTGAACAGGAAGAACAGGCCAACACCCACATGTCCAGACTGAGAAAGGTCCAGCATGAGATGGAGGAAGCTCAGGAGCGTGCTGACATTGCTGAATCCCAGGTCAACAAACTGAGAGCCAAGAGCCGTGATGTTGGAAAGGTAATTCATCTAATTCGTTTACACAACATTTAATGTTGATCAGATGAGTGTTTAATATAATGTTGAATGTTGCTTGCTTTGTATTATTAATTAGAGTGTAGAGAGTGTAGATACTTGTACAAAAACAACACGCGATAAATTGCTTACCGTTAATATGCGTTGAATAATTTTACCTTTCATTATTGTTTTCAGGGTGAAAGTGCTGAATAAGACACATTCTTTTGGAACTTTTTGGCAGTGTTCATAAAATATGAACTAACTGTTAAATTGTCTGCTTATGATGTATTAATTCAATAAACACTTTCATTATGATTTCATGAAATGTAAAGAGTTTTATTTATTGTATATTCTAAAATATTCACTATCAAACATACAATGTTTAACACAGTAGTTTCTTGAAAAAAGCACTTTTGCTTTACCTTTAAAAGAAAACCACATTTCACAAAAACTATCATAATTTAAAAGTAAATTTTTTGCAAACCTAAAAAATTAGTGCTTCACAAGCAAAATTTCCATTAAACAATTAATTTCCCTTGTCACATCAGTTAAACAAATGGCTGCATATGTCAATATTTTTTTTATTAATCTGTAAATGCTTCTCAAACCATTATTAATGGTTCATAAAGCATTAGTTAAGGATGAGAAAGAGAAAAACCTGAACGTTTTTTTGCCAAACAGTGAGCCAAATGTGTTCACCTATATATAGGTGAGAGCTGCTATATTAAACCTTTCAGACTAATTTACTATCTTGTAAGCATAATAAGCATTCGTAAACATATTTTTTAGCATATAAAATTGTACTTTATAAATGCATTATAAATATCCACAACTATCAATCGGAGCTTTGTTGTAAAGTGTAAAACATGTCACAATTTATCAATGACTAATAAACATTTATAAATGCCAAATGGGAGCCTTGTTGTAAAGTTTAAAACATGCCACCATTTATTTATGACAAACAAACATTTGTAAAACTATTACTGGGCCTTACTATAAAAAGTATAAACCACCAAATGTTATTTAGCATTGCTAAACTTATATATAAGCTTTTTTAAGGTAGTTTAAAAAGTTCATGCCAGGCTCGTTCAGACTGGAAATATTTTTGTATATCCTTGAATGAAGTCCCAGTGGTCCATCAGGGTGTTGTGAACCAAGCACATGGTTCTTGAGCACTCAAGAACCATGAGGTGTTCTTCCAACTTCTCAGTACAATTTCTTCTTAGTCTACAGAAATGTCCTTTGATGTTCCAAGTTTAGATTAGAAATTATTTTAATATTTTAATATTGTAGTTGTTTGTTTTTTAGATTCTTCTTCTAATCTTGCCCCTACTGCAACCATCCATGCCAGCCCTCCCGATTTTTCTGGGAGAATCCCGAATTTCAGTGCCTCTCCCAAAAATCTCCCTGAGCCATTCTCCCGAATTTCTCCCGATTTTCCACCTGAACAACAAAATTGAAAAAACATTCATAGTGTGGCCCAGCCGATTCCAGTTTTCCATCAATGGCGGCATTCTCCCTCCTCGTGCTCACAGACACATAACAGGTATGGTAGTCCATTCTCCCTGCAGCACGGACTACACTGCCCATGAGGCTACATTCTTTAGAGCTATACCTGTAGCATTCTGCCTATTAGCTTAGCACAACA